CGGTGTGAGGCGGGCAGCGAGGGCGCCTGGCCGCTGCCGCTCCGCGCTGATCCAGAGAGCCTTGCAGCAGGGCTGTGGGGTGGGTGGCCGGGGCCAGCCTTGCAGCGCAGTTTGTTGAAGGCCCATGCAGAGTTGTTCTTTATAGGAAACGGTGGATGGGTGGGTGTGGGGACGACGAGGCCTGGGAAAGGCGGATCTGTTGTTCCCGGATCCCGTGCTGTAATGGGCATGGCACTAAGGCACCTGCTTGGGCCCAGGCTGTGGTCTACAAGTGGAGAGTTGTGCCACTGCTGTAACGAGAAATGCAGTGATTCAAGCAAAATTATGCATCTTTTAAAAAAGATGTGCAGTGCCAAGTAAGCGGTGATTCTTATGCAAAAGTTTGGATTTTATGCTTACAGGAATCTGTCTTCATAATCTGTAAATGTGAGAATGGCAAATAAAGGCATCCTGTGACTTGTGATTTTTCATTTTTGTATAACTTTACCTGTCACTACCATTCTTCCCTTTTCCCTTCTGGTGGCCCATTTTTCTGATGTGTCCGTGACTATTACTGCCCTCCATACCTTCTGATCAGTCTACATGATGCACACAGTGTTTCTTCAGTCTCCTTAAGAGTCCTGTGAGAGGAGTGTGCTAAATTTGCTGGATTCAATGGTGGCAGTGGCAGACAGTTTCCAGGAATGTAGGAAGCCGGACCAGTACTTCACACAAGAAGAAATATCTTAAGGAAATTAAGTTCAGACTTTCAGTAATAGAACTAAGTTAAGCTACGAAACTGATCCTGGTGATTTAGCCATCTTTGTGAGAGATAATATAATCATTGTAAGTATGCAGCAGGCTTCCAGAAACATACTGCAATATGTTATATATACAGATATCCTCTGCATTGCAATATATTCAAAGTCATTAATGCATCCCACTAATGGTATTTAATAATAGAGTGGTCTGTTGATGATGCCTAAAGTCTTATAACAGTCCATCTACCAAGCTTCTCAAAGCATGACGTCAATGTTGTTTCAGCACCATTGCTCAAATAGTCTCCATGGAGTCACAATAAAATAAATTTTCTTCCGCTTGCTTTTTTGACAGTATTGGCTATTTATTGCGCTGAATTTCAACCTTTTTAGATGTAACACTGTGTGGGAAATACTCTTTCAAAGTATAAAAACAATCAGTGGACCATTTCCAGTCCAGCATATTGTGAAATTAAATGTTATATAAATTCTGTGCTAAAAAAAAATTACTGTAAGTTCATAACCTTCAGTAGACAGAAAATTAGGTTGAGACTTAGAATATGGAATTCGCCCTTTTCTCAGTTCGTGGATGACACTGAGAAAATTTAGTCTCTGTAAAGTTTTTCAATGTGTCAGTGAAGACAGTGATTGCAATGAACTTAATAAAATGGTCTGAAATAACAATAGATCTGTGTATAGTCAGGATGTTAAATTTGCTGAAATACTAAGGAGACAATCGTAGAAGAAAGCTCTCAGAAATCCTACTTCGAAAAAAATGATAGGAAATTAACTTTCAGATTTTATTTTTTTATTATTATCTTGATTTCCAGGGCTTTCACCCGTAAATTTCATCAATCCTCATACATTGAAATACTGAGAGTGCATTTTTTAATAACTGGAAGGAACAGTCAGGTGTTAAAGACAATTTGAAAATTCAAAGTTGTCTACTTGCAGTTTTGTAGAAGAAACACTGAATAACTCAACAAGGATGAGGTAGCAGCCTTAGTTCTCTTTAACTGATGGAATCCTAGAAAAAGAAGTCTCAAATCATGTGGCAAGAGATGTAGGCACAAATGAGGCCAAACTGATGTTGCTTAAAACTTCTCCATTCTGCATTCTCTGACCTCCATGTGTCTGCCTTTCAATTGTAAAAATACTTTGTGGTCTTTTTTTTTAATATTTATTTTACTATATAGATGCTGCTTAGAGTTGAGGTCTGCCTTGTCAATACTAGTCCAACTTCCTTTTATTTCGATTAAGACTCCAGGGACAAACTGGCAATAGGTACAAACTGGAACTCGGTGTCCAGCCTGTGGTTTAACTTCCTCAGGGAATACCGTTTCTGGACAGCAGAATGCTATTGTTTTATCCCCTTCTGGTGTGACAATTGTTTTCTTTCACACTGTAGCCATCACAACTACAGAGGAAGCAAAATGATGTTTTTTAAGAGAAATTAGGCAGAAAAAATGCATAGACATTTCCTGGCACCTCTGAAGGTAACTACACCAAAGTAGGCTCTCAGGAATTTGTCTAATTGTTCAGTCTTTATCAAAAACATGACAAGAGATGTCAGAGAACATAAAATACTTTCAGAATTGGGCATTACATAATGCCCATCCTCTTAAGCTTGTATTATAAAAAATTAACAACTGCCACTAACCCTTAAACCAGGATTGGAAGTAATTATTGTATATTCCCTGTACGAGGCTGAAGATTTTTTTTGTGCACATGGTTTGACATTTTCTTCTCCCTATAAAGATAGACATTTTCAATGGTCAAGAGTATGAGACCACTTAGGATACAAAGATGTAGAATAAAGTCTTAAAATACTTGCTACCATGACAGTACCTCAGTACCTGATCCCCTGAGAATCTCTGATCTATCTCTTTATTTAACAGTGTCCCTGAAAAGCAGAGGAAGATTTTTTTCTTGCTTTATAAAGAAGACTAAAACCCAAAGAGTAAGCCTTAGGTCTGGGCTGCTGAAGTCAGGTGCCCAGGCTTTGCCAGACCATGTGCTTAGCAGATGTTAGCACTCACGGTATAAAGGCTCTGAGAAGAGAATTCCTGGCTTCATCTACTTGGTCGCTCTCTGCCTTTTTCTGAAGGCAAGCAGCTGTGCCCTTCTCACACTCCTAACTGAGGTTCAGTCTTCTGTTTGAAGGCACTACTACTATTATTCTCCTCTTTCAAAATAAACCTCCAGAAAGGAAATGGAAAACTAATCCCCTTTTTTTTAATAAAAAATGGCATTTTTTTAAACTATATATTGCTTGCCTCTCCCCTTCAGTAACAGGTTTTGGTACACTAATTTACAACCTGGGGCCTAATTTGCCCTTTTGTTGAAGCTGTGCAACATGCAGAGAAAACAGATTCATTAGACTAGAGTCTAAAACTGTGGTTAAGTACTTGTCCAGTAGAGGGAAGTGTTAGCTGATGGTTGCTGTTACAAGGTCCTTCTCAGTACAGAAATCCAGTGGCGTTTAAATGAAATAAATAAGCAGCATCGGTTCTCTGTAGCTGGTCAAGATCACTTGAGTCCTAACTTTTGATGCAGAATTTCACTATCATAAGTCTGAGCATGTCACCTTGGTCTTCTTTACAGAGAAAAATAATTAGTTGTCTGTGGTAGGATGACATGCATTTCCCACTAAAGATGTCTGTGTTTCTCCAATACTTATAAAGTGAGCCTAGGGTGACTAACTCAAACACACACGTTTCAC